CATCTTCAATGTCGCGTCAAAATTTCATCAAGATTGCCTAGCATGGCCTGATTCTAGCTTGCCGGGATCACCCTCTGACACACCTGATGATCTCTGTATACACAACCGAACACCTGTTCAGTGCACCATGAGTCAGAGTGGTACTATACTCTACAGTTTGCGCTTGTTCTGTACAAGCTAGCGTCGAGAACAACTCATATACAACACCTCGATGCGTGTAGATTGGGCCTACAATGGCATCGCGTTGTATCCCAAGCTATGCTTGTGAAATGTCTACCTACATGTGTGGTATGATCAATCTGTAGCACATGGAGCTTTACTTGCAACCAGTCGAAACTCGGCATGAAATACCCGATGGCAGCCGGCTCCCCTTGTGCGAGAAGGCCGGTAGTAATAAGCGCACCAATGCACTCACACTGACGAATACTCATCCCCGCAATACAAACCGTTCACACTACAGTACACAGGCAGAGACAGCGTAAACTAGACGCACACGCGCAAAAAACTGGGTTTGAAAGCGTACCAGCGCCTACCTGAGACGTGTCTATGTTTCAAGTAATCGCGTGCATTGTCGGCGTGTGGTGCTATTGACGCTCCCTGCATCCACCCAGCCGTACCTGAAGTCTCCACACACAGACGAAACGGCAGCTCGAAGAGCTCTGTAGGTATATACACGGGAGTTCGGAGTGAGATAAACCGTGTAGACTGTGAGCGAGCGGTTGGTGTGGCGGCAAACTATAGTATGCCGCTTGGATACTCGATGGCAATCTGTGAGGAAGTTTGCTTGTGCTTGTACTGCTACTGAGATATACTAGCTATGACTACCATGCATGTGCAATATGCTGATACACAAAATGTTGTAGCGCGCGAGAGTTCTGCCCGAACAATATACTATCTCCTTCCTCAACCTCACAATTCACGCGCACCTGCCATCGACAGTTTGATATAGATGTACATATTGATACACATATTCTCTCGCACTCGGTAGTTTCGTATTTGAATATTCATAAGGGTACAGATACATTCTCATGCACTCACTTCTCACACATCTACCGTCGGTAGTTTCATGTATCAATAATAAAGGTACACAAGGAAACAGATACGTTCTCATGCACTCTCCTCACACATATCTACCCTCGGTTAATACATAAATAAATAATAAATACATCAAATAATACAAATAAATTCTCATGCAATAGCTTCACATACATCTACTCTCGGTATTTCA